TGAACTTTCTCAAGTGACTTTTCCAAGTCACATAGGTAATCTTTTCCTTTTCACGTATTTCTTTAGGTAATTAGAGAGCATTTAATAACACAGATTTCAGATGGGGAAAAGGGAGAGGTCAGCGGCTCTACAGTCCCATAGGCGCTGTCAAGCCAACCAGGATCTGTTTGTGATGCTTAAACCAACACACCCCTCCAAATCAGTTGCCTGCGGCAATTTTCACAAAATACCTAAAATTAGGCCCTGCCTCAGGTATACTCAGATATACAGATAGACTGGAACGAAGAGACCACTCAAGCAAGGATGGGAGACAATCCCGGTGAGCAGCACAGACAGAGACCTGTCTCAGCACCTAGGCCTCTGGCCTGCAGGCCCATATGCTGCACCCAGCCTGCAGGGCAGATGGACCCCCACTTGGGAGAGCCAGGGGATGGGAGGAAGGTTGGTTCTGGGGGGCAGGGGGCAAGGCTTCTGTGGTGGGGGATGGGGCAGGTTCGGCTCAGCCTCTAGAAAGAGTACGGTTCTGTTTAGCCAGGGTCAGCCACTTACTCTGTGACTTTGGGCAATGTGACCTCATAAAGTCTCATTTCTCTCAAGGACAAAGTGGACCTAAAAATAGTACCTTTGTGGGTTTATTGCAGTATGCAATGAGATTATAGAGGGCAAGCGCCTAGCAAAGTTCCTGGCACGAGTAAATGCTCATGAATAGTAGTAGTGGTGGTGGTAGGAGTGTTCTGATTAGTGGGAAGAATACGGAGTTTACATTCTGGCACCATTCCATCCTCAGCCTATAACAAAAACAGCTACAGTCACGTGGTGTCTACTGTGTGCCTGACGGTGGGTGTATATCTTTAATCCTCACAAGCACACTGCAAGATACTGTCATCCCCATTTCACAAAAGAGAAATGAAGCATAAAAAAGGTAAAAGCTCTGGCTAAGGATACAGAACTTGAAGTGGCAGAACAAGGCTTTGAAGCCAGGTCCTTCTGATGCCAGCCCACCATACGGTCTGCAATACCCGACCAGATACTGAATTATGGGACCTTGTGTTCTCTTCCAGCTGACCGGAGGAGATCCCAGAGCCCTTGACTGCATGACTGGTCCTAATGTGCTTATTTCCTGGGCAGTAACTGAAAAGCACTTGGGATCTGGTGAATTAGGCATGACATAGGGTTAGGACATTAAGTGGGCCCTTCGACTACGAGGTTGAAAATTCATCAGTCTTTTCTCAGGGTGAAGGACAGCTGTAAAGAATGGACAGAGGCTGTGTAGAAGGATGGGGGCTGCCTGCACACAGCCAGGTCCCTCAAATCCCCCAGACTCCCTTCAACCCGGGCAGCATGTCCCGGTGAAGCAGAGACTGCAGGAGGCTTGCCTGCATCTCTGGTGGTCCATCCAGTAAGTCCCTGGTCAGTCAGGGCAGAAATAAGTCTAATGTGACATCCACATGCTGTTCCCAGGACCAGGGCTGAAAATAGGTTCTCTTGCAGTTCCCTTTCACCAACTGAAAAAGATATTTCTAGGGGATCCCAAGATCTTGAAACCCTGCTTGGCTCCAGAAAAACAGGTATACTTTAACGCCTGCCAAAATGAGAAAAATTAATAGGATAACTGACTTTCCATTGTGAACTGAAGTCGGTAAGTATATTATTAATAGGAAGACGTAGTACTCATTTTCAGAGACTAATGTAATTCCTGTGAATTTTTTCTTACAGCAATGTCCAAGAGTCTAATTTTCTAGAGCCATGAAACCGAACTCCATCTGACTATCCCAGCAGCTCACTGAGCAGGCGGCCCTCTGTTTCACCCTCCCCTCCCTCTGCCCTTAGGCCTGCACAATTTAAGGCAGTTAACCCTACCTTGAAACCCAAAGTGTTTGAAGGAAAAGTAGGTTTGCTGGAACAAGGTGTACCTTGACTATTTAAGTTGTAAGATTGGAAGTAAAAACTGCAGAGGCCCCAGAAATATTTCAGAATCCATATTTATATTCAGTCGAAATCTAAAGAAACTGAGAAATTCATAGCAAATGGCTTCTAGGAACATCCTTGGAGAAAACTGTTCATTCACAGGCTATAGATGAAATATTCACCCTTTGAAAGTGTGCTGCTTCTTATAAGACACACAGCCTGTGGCTGTGATTAAATTTGCCGTAAGTTATATGCCATCACCACAGATAGTAGTGTTTAGTGTTTGGTTTGTGTTACAGATTGTGTGGACTTCCAATCTGTAATTTATAATCAATTTGTAGAGTAAAGTTGCACTGAATGAAAGGTTTTTTCCTTGTTTAAACTGGATTATTAGGACTGAAATGCTAATCCTCTCTGGGCTCTGGTGGCCCCAGTAGGCGCCTTCCAGGGAACTGACTGGCTTGCCTAAACCAAACTTGGTGTGTAGACTTGAAGCTCTCAGCTTCCAAATTGCCTGTTCCCATCCTACCCCTCAAGCTCTAGAGTAAGAATAGACCCCCCGGGCCCCTCCCCCCCCGGGGCAGTTACCACTCCAGATCAACTTTCTCGGCTCTCTTCTCTGCATCCAGGCCAACCCCGAGAGTCCAGAAACTTCTTGTCCTCATCAGAGAGCAAGCCTGTTTCCAGATGGCTCTGGGCTGGCTTGGGTATAAGAAGCAGGATTAAGATGAAAAGAATCATTTTTCATAGGTCCACTTTAAAGTAACCAAACAGAAAAAGGAGACTCTAGAGAGTTCCAGAACAATCAGACTAACTAGAGAGGTCAATGGACCAAGGGGCAGCCTGCTTTCAAACAGACCTTCCTGTCTGGCTGTCGGTTCCTGTCCTCACTGAAAAGCCTGAGGATACAGCTCAAAGAAAAGTATTTCCCAAACTTAAGGAGTATGCTGACCACCCTTTCAAGAAAAGCATTTCCACCAATCTTGAGTGTTGAAAATTATATTTTTATTATATTGCTTACTACATATGTACAGAAAATGTATTCATACTTATGTTTAGCGTTCCCATAGAATAAATAAAATAATGTAAGTTTACACATTAATCCCAACATAACAACAAAACCAAAACACTCAGATGACAACATCAATTTGACGTGATGAATCGTGGCATTTGGTAGAAACAAAATCCCCGTCATTGGGTAACATAATAATAGTCTGATGTGTTTGCAATTTTATGCTTTACTTAGTATTAACTTAATTTCCTTGAGTTTCAGCATGATGGACAA